AACCTGGCTTAAATTAGAAGTAAGAACTCAGAGAACTCAAAAACTAGTTAGTTTTACACACCGTTAAACTGTATTTATTTGTCATACTTAGGCCTAATTTCCACATCAAACTGCAGCTCTTTCTAAAGGAAAAGTTCAATATTCTGTAAAATATCATCTCTTGAAATCAGTCTCATGCCTTTACGTTAAGTACAGTGTAGTCTTGCATCGCCAGAATGACACATTTTTAGCTGAACCCATCACATAGGGGGAAAACCCCTTGTTTCTATTTCTTTGATAAATCCCAATGGTGTGGGTTGTGCTAAGCCCTTGCAAAATAATGTTGGGGGCTTGTTTTAGTTGAACAATTTTTAAATTCTCGCGAAAATAAAGATAACAGCTGCAAGGTTGTTTACATTCGTACTGTTTGTGACAAGATCAGGGTGAAGGTAAGGTGCCATTTTCAGTGCGTAGGTTGCTAGCTTTGAGTACAGTTAAATGCAGATAGCAGAAGGGGAAGAAAATGCTGAGTGAAATAGTAAAATATTCAAACTAATATGAATAAACTTAAAAGCTCCAAAAGAAAAAAAAAGTTTTATTCACATTTTACTACAAAGAACACTGTTATCTCTTAATAGTGTCTTTTTAGAAGATTTACCTGTAAATAAAAACAAATGTAATTATTTTTCCCCCTAAAGCCCTGATTCGTAATTGCAGGTTTTGCTTTAAGGCTGCGTACAGCACCAGACAACCTCCACCAAGAAGGTAGGGCAGCTTGTACAGTACGTTGCCTGAGAGGGGGCTCAGTATTGCTTGCACATCTGCATGTGTTGTAATACTGAAAGCAACTCAGATCAGTAAGTTAGCGGGCACACATTACCTGCTCAGCATCAAACGACACACAAAGTTAGACAAACACATTTAGCGAATAGTGGAACATTTAGCTGTTAAAAAACAAAATATTTTCCTTAGGAGTTGTTGGAGACCAAAACTGAACGAAGATACATAAGTAAGTGAATACTGGACTTCTTCTATAATATTCCACTCCAGAATAAATGCTTCCATTATCCATGTCTGCTGGATGTGTAAATGAGAAACCTTTTGCTATCAGGTTTGCCATATTAACTTAAAAGATGACAATATATCAGTGTTGTGTTTCCACTTTTTCACTACCTCTAAGTGGACCAAAAAGCAGTTATTGGATTAACAAACATAAATTAGACTGATATCAATCTTCTCATCTTACTCTTGGAAGGATAAGCATATTTCCGGAAATGTTGAACTACTCCTTTAAAGACTTCTGCAAGACTGCAGCCTCTCTCTACCTCTCTCTCTGTGTGCTTGCTCACTGCTGTAAACAGTCCTCTGTGAAAGGCCTGTAATCTCTTCACTGGCTCCTCTCATCCCCATGTAATGATTCTGCAGTGAAACAGGATCAGGAAGAAGGAGTTGGGAAGAGTCCTCCAGGACCAAGAAGATGGAAAATAATGGGTCATAGAGTGTAGACATCCATTACGTGGTCTGTTTCCTGAAAGACACAGGAATCATCAGCCCCAAATATCATCTTATGTGTCTCTGCCAGGATGTACCCATTCACACCAGCTGGGTCCAGGTACATAAAGAGTCTCAGTCGAGAATTCAGTTAAATTATTTAGACCTCAAAGAAGTGGTTGATTAGTCAGTAAATCAATGAACATAAAAATAAACTGCAACTATTTTCATAATTGATTCATCTTTTAAGTCAAAAATGACAAAACATTTCCTATTTCCAGCTCCTCAGCTGTGAGGATATGCTATTTTTCAAAGAAATTCTGTCATTTTGTAGAGAAATGAATCAATTTAATAAAAAAAGGTGATCGGCAGATTTAACAAACATTAAAATATTAAAATAATTGTTAGTTGCAGTCCTAAAATTATTTCTTTGACAATATTTTAAGATATGAGTCTAGGTATAGATCACAGAGTAGTGGATGGTACTAAATGAGTGTGTTTGCACATGTAAAACATTCAGTGTGTGTGCATCCGCCTATGAATGTACTGTATGCATCTGTTTATACAGGACACGTATGAACAAATTTGCTTTCACTCACGGTATGTTCCTTCAAAGCTTTCTGCATCAACACGATTCTTTGTTCTCCAGAATATTCACCCTGATCCTCGCCTGCTGCGTACCGTTTCTGGCCTGCTCTTCATCCACAGACTGATACATTAATATGCTCCTGTTTAAGGAGAGTCTGACATCTCATCAGTTTTGGCCCCACAGCCTGCAGTGCTTGGAAAAGACAGCTTGTGATTAGTGTCCCTTTCTGCTGGGGCTTGAGGTCTGTTGAGACAACCATAAGAGGCAGGGTGGCATGCAGGAGCAGAAGCAAGGGTGAGGGTGGTAATGTGGAGCGAGACAACAAGGGCAAGGATGATGGAGAGCGTATAAGGATGCATTTCTGTTTGAAAGGTTTCTGGCAACACTGCATGATGAATGAAGTGTACGATAACTGCACGTTGAGCAAAAGAGACATTTGTCATTGTGTTTGTTAGTGTGTTTTATGCCAGTAGGCCCAAGTTTAATTTTTCCTTTAAGTATTAATTCAAATAACAAATTGTTGCCAGCATAAGGCTTGTTTTTTGGTGATAAGCCAAGACAGTTAATAGTGTTGTGATTCTTGTCCAAAAACGACATCTTTTGCATTGTTTCTGAGGCTTTGGAAACATGTATTGGATCTTGTGCCTCCTGTATTGTGCTGATATCCTAAAAAAAAACTCCAAATAAATCTGGAGCCAGTTGAAACTGCACTTTGTTTGAGTTCAAACAAGGGTGTAAAATTTACACAACACTAAATTAAAATGTGTTGCGCCACACAGGCTATTTCTTACATTAGTTGTTACTAAATAATCACACCTAGTAACTACAAAGTGTAATTGTTAGCTAACTGAAGAAGAAAGAACTTAACACACAAACTAATGGATTTTTGAATAGAGGGTGTAACTTGACATTTTCTGTTAAATGCCAGTGCAAATGAACAGAGTAACTGATGTGGGAAAATTGACTGACTGTGACAAAGGGGTGGCATCGGGTCAAATTACAAAATGTGAAGTTTGTTTCTTGCAAGGAAAGATGTTCTAATTTGAAGGGGAAACTGAGGCCACACCATCTCGATCTGTGTACATCTCATTTCGGACCATGCGTTTGTCTGTGTGAGTATTATTATAATCCATAAATACTTCTGGTATTAAGCCTGTGGAATCATTTAGAATCCAACATTGGTTGTGCAATTCAAGAAATTTCACACAACCTGAAATAATATGATTACTTCCTAAAAAGTCAGGAACATCTGGACGTTGTTTTGTTCCACTTGGACTGTAACCACTTCTGGCCTCTAAGATGACAACACTGTTTCAGGGTTTTTAACCAATTATGCCACTGAGCTCACCATCCCCATAGAAGCATCACCAAATATTTGCTGTTGTTCTGTGTTTCCATGTAGTCAGACTCTTTCTCTCTCTCCCTCTGTTTTTCTTGTGGGTGTAGATGTAGATCAATATAAGCGACCACATCCGTATGAGTTTAGCTATTTAATGAGCATGGAGAGGACATAGTCAGCCCCATGTCTGGTCCCTCTGGTAGTCTGGTTTGGCCTGGCTCTGGACTTGCTCCCTCTGGCCCCTCTTACTCTGTCTCTAGCTTATTAGTTTTCAGCCCAGGCCATAGCAACAGAGAAACATTTACACCAATGCACAAAAACACTCAATCAGCACAAGCCATTAATTAGTCCAGTGTTTGTTGGATATTTCATGGAGGAAATGGAGAATTGTTGATAGAGAAGAGGAGTGAGGTGACAAAGAAGCTTCCTGGGCCAGCTGCTGCTCCTGACTCTGCCCAGGATGAATAAGCAGCCAGCTGCAGCTGTCTAGGATGCCTGTCTGTGGCGTGTCATATATTAAAGGTTGGTGCAGGAAAAAGTTGTGGTTTTATCATGTAGCATTGTCTGCATCTGTAATCAGGACACTTTGTACTTCTGAAAACTAAAGGCATGCTCCCACAGAGCGCGTTGCATCGGTTTAACGAGACGGATGTTGACATTTGGTAACAAGACTAACCACAGTCTCAACTGACACTGATACTAAACACACGGCCATGTATCCTCATCTGGTTTTAACACCAAAGTGCCGACAAGTCCATCGTGTTCTACTGTTACAGAGAATTGAATCAGTTCGATTTGGCTCCATCCAGCAGACAACATGTTTGATCTTGTGGGACAACGGGTTACCAAAACAGTGTCCCCTGAGCAAGCTTCAATTTTTGTAATTAATATATTGATTCTTCGATTAGTCAATTAATAATTTGGTCTCCCAGAAAAAAAAAAGATAATGACAAATGTCCCTTACCATTTACCACAGCCCAATGCAATGTCTTCCATCAGCTGTAAATAGTCCAGCTGTAATCAGCAAATGTTTAATATTTTGGTGGATTTAGAAACTATTAACTGATAATCAAAATTGTCACTGATTATTTCCCAACAGTAGTCACTGATTAAGCACTTATCAGCTTGTCCTGGTATGCTAGTAGTCAGGCATCATAAACAAAAACACACCCAAAACACCAAAGAAAACCTGCTCTAAGTGTGATGGCACAATATATAATACTGATCTCTCCAAGTTTATCCCATATTATTAAAATAACATTTTACTGAGTACTATAAATGTAAGATTTCTAAAATGCATCCTAATCTTAGTAACATATCACCAATATGAACCGGTATCAAATAATAGACTGTATTTCTGTATCGTAATGGCTGAGGACAGATGGTCATTCATGCTACTAAACCTGCTCTGGATAAGTAACGATTAAAACAGAAGACACAGTTTTCTTGTATTTTCCTGGCATTACATTATCTGAACTCTGAGCGGGATGAAAGAGGGGATGCCTGTGCTCTGTAAACTGGTGACGTGTGGAGAACATTCTGAACATTTGTAATCTCTGAATACCAAAGACTCTGTCTAACCCCAACCCTCTCTTTCTTTAGATTGCAGGTTTTATCAACGCCATACACCCATTTTGCGGCGACACAGAGAACCTGACGGCGTTCCGCTTCTACGCCCTCAACCCCATCGTGGATCCCTGGGTTTTCATCATCTGCCGCAAGTCTGTGTTTCGCCACCTTTGCTCTCTGCTGAGCTGCCGCTTCAGCAAAGGAGCTGTGAAAACAACAGCACACTGCGCTCTGTCTTTACCCCTTGACAATCACATTCAGCGCAACCCTCCGGACGTGACAGTTCCACAGACCAACATGTACTCCAATTTACCTCTGTGACCCAACAGAAACCCTCAACTGTCCAGGGTCACTGGAGGCTAGGAGACTTTCATGTTTGATAAAACACTGGAGCATTCTGAAATGAAAGTTTAACATTTGCATACAGGATTTCTCCACTCACCAAGACTTTGACAAAGAAGTATCTGTCGCAGTGGAAATCTTCTATATGTCGCCGTTTCATTTTCCCTATGAACTAACGTTGGAAAGAATGATTGCACTAAGTCTTAAACTTCCACTGACTGATGGAAACGGTTTCAACGTTGTGCCATAAAACAAACAGCACTGTAACTTAGCACTTAACACATCAAACCATATCATGCCTATGATTAATATACTGAAAAATCTGAATATATGCACTCGGGTAAAGCTATATGGGTACACAATATGCATGAATGTATACTGTCTTATTTCTCTCAGCTTTTACTTTAAGGCACTGGCCAAGTAACTCTTGATTTAGTTGACTGATTAAATGAGATGCAGGTCACAGTCAACAAGTAGATGGTAGTTTATTTCCCTGTCATCACTGGGGTTGATGACTTGGTAATCCAATTCCCTTGACCAGAATAATAATGCATCTATCATCAGTGAGAGGGATGCAACAGAGACACATATTTTATTAAAAAGAGGAGAAGTTGTCACTTGAATAAATGAACAGATGTAGAAGAAGCAGGTTCCCCAGACAAAGTGCAGTATAAATATTAATAAGCACGTCTTAACAAAACTAAAAGTCTACAGCCCTGCTAGCTGTCCTTATAAGGCACTTTGGCACAACTGTGCTTTGAGCTAAAATGTAATGCCAGCATGTTAATGTGCTCACAATGACAATGCACATGCTGACGTATAGCAGGTACAATGTTTACAATATTCACCATCTTACTTTAGTGTGTTTCCTTACTAACATTTGCTTATTAGCACAAAACACAAACTACAGCTGAGACTCATCATCAATTTTGCAGTTTATTTGGTCATAAATTTTTATAAGGAGTACGGTCTAGACCTACTCTATTTGAAAAGTGTCGGGAGATATCTTTTGTTATGAATTTGTGCTAAAAAAAAAGAAAAAAAGAATTGAATTGAATTAAATAAATGTATTGGACAAATTGCATTTTGACCTTATGATGGCACTAAATGAAAAGCTAAGGGGCTGCTAAAGTTATCACAATTTATGCTCTTGGCACCACAGATATGGCAATCCATCTGATAGTATCAAAGTGGCAGACAGATGGATGACATTTCCATCTCTAGAGTGACACCGCTAGCATGGCTAAAGAGTGATTTTCAAAAACAAATCTTGAATTTGGATTAGTTACTACTGGAATATAAAAATCCATGACTGGGTCCAAATTGTGTTGCATTTACACTGTACCTGTGAAAATTGCTCCTATCAGAAACTACTTGTCTGACTCATAGTGCAGTTTGCTCTTTGTTGAAATAGATCAAATAACACAGGGGTGTTCCCTTACAGACTGCACTGTTCCACCTGCAGCACAGACTGCCAGTACTATGAAACATGAATATGAACATGTAATATATGTACAAACAGATTAGAATTTCATCTTTTTGGTCGTTGTGGTCAGTTCAAAAATGACTAATTACTATTGTTACTGTTGTTGTTAAAATCATCTAAGCCCTCTCACGGTCCAAAAATGCAAGAAATGAAAAGTAAAATTAGTGAAAAGATTGGATAATCCGAGACTAGACTAAGTTTAGGACGATTCCAAACCTTGCCTGAGAGTGAGTCAATCCGGTTTAAAAGGTCACTTTAGTCTCAAACTAGGCTTAATTCATATTCAATGTATTGCATGAACATTTGATTCCACCCCTCCTTGTCACCCTCACTGATTTCTAAGCTACCTATGATGATGATTGTCTGTGAATGGTCTCTTAAGAGCCTCTTGTGTTTGGAAAAACTCTGCTGCTCCAAAAGGCACTGTGAGAATTAGTCTGTTGTTGTTGACTTTAATGCTGTAACTGCATTTAAATGTAGTATATTTATGCCTTTTACACTGTGCTATAATGTTTGTCTTTGCAGTTGTGTTGTTTTGGTTTATGCAGTGTAGTGCAGACATGTTGAGTGATTTGAGTTTGTTTTTTTTGTTTTCTTTCTGTGTTGCACATTCACTTTTCGCTTATAGTCTTTAAATGCTCAGTCATGCATGATCCCGAGGTAAGTCATACACGTTACCACTAGCACATCTGACCCTTGAGGGTGCAATTATTTGAGTTGTAAATCCTTGAAAAAATGAATGAAAGAATACATTTTTAGAAAACAAAATAGCATTCATTATGTGGTACACATTTGTTCATGTGAAATAAAGTATTAATAGAAAAGAAAACTAAAAAATGTCTCACAACTTATGTCTGTATATGTTCCCAAAGAGAAACAGAGAGATGTTTTGCTAAATGTTTATGCTGATTTTGTGATGTCCCATTAAGGTCTGTGTTCTATTTATATGTTCACCACTTTTGAGAAGATTTAGCAATTTTAGAGGGCATTGCCTGAACACTCTTGTTTTTGTACACAAAATATTTGTTATTAATTTGACTTTTAGCAATTAGGTCATGATGCAGCAGGAAAATGATGTGTGGGTGTGTGTGTTTGTGTAAAAATGTGACGTTTTTACAAATAGTAACAGAAAGAAAGCTAAAGTGTTAATACTGACAGATAAATATTTACATTTGAAAGTGCTGGTTTATGTGGGAAATAAGGAGGGCTCACGCAAATAAAAATGACATGCAACATTAACAATACTGAATTCAAGAGATGAATGATGACAACTTATCATGTAAACAGTCTAATTTTTATGTAATAATATTGGTTTGCCATCTTTAGAAACTCATGACCTCAAAGCCTCATTTATAATTTATTGTTGAAGAGCAGCAGAGCAGTGACTGGTACTGCAGCACCACTGTGTGGTTAACTGGTGTACACGGTGTAAACTGTCAGTTTCTCCACAGGCAGTCGATCTTCAGTGACAGTGTAGTGGCAAAAAAGATGACGCTCATATGCTGTAAATCAATGCAGTTGCAAAACTGTGCAGACTGTATGTATGAGAGAATAAGATTTCACATGTGAGAGTAATTAGAATGGCAATGTCGTTTGTTTTATCAGCAGCGCAGGCAACGGACTGTTTAACGCCTCTGCAGCCAGTTCATAACACAGGCCACATGTTCACCAGAATTAACCACGAAATGTCACATAGTTTCTTTGATGTGTAAAAAGAAAAAAAAAAAAAAAAGATTCCATTCCTTTCAGCCCCTTTGTTTCATCTCACACTCAGCGTCTGATTTATTATTAACAGTACTATATTATAGAAAAATATAAGAAACTATAATTACATGCTGAGTGACTTTATTGCTACTTGTTTGTGACTTTACTATGAAAATATTAATAATCCATGTTTCTTTGTGTAACATTTTCAACTGGTTCTCAGCTCGTCTCTTCATCATATACAAGTTATGTTACCATAAATAAAACATTCTCAGTGAATTCACCAGTGAATAAACAAACTCCAGAGGACTAAAGAAGACACACTATACTGACAACAAACGATGTAACACAAGCAGTATTTTATTTTCTGTCTGTTCTCTGTCACAACTTTAAAAAACTAATTGTGTCAGACGTGTGTCCTCCTGTGAGAGGAAAACTCAAATCTCAGTAGCTCAATCTCCACACAGCTGACTACGGAGGCTCTACGAGTAGCTTCCTGCCTCAAACAGTTTGATGACGATGGCTTCGTGGGGCTGCAGCTCCAACGTGTCCAGAGTCATTGCTCCCAAACGGTCCATTCCTGTGCTTGACACAAACACTCCAGCTTTAGGTATACTCGGGGCCCAGGCAGGATCCAGGGCATGAACCTCAGGTCCGACGTTGAGCAGGATAAGGAAGTGAACACAACCCCAGGAGCGCAAGTAGGCCAGGACTGCGAGAGATGGAGGAGAGGGTAGAGTGGAGTTGGAGGAGGAGTCGGTGGAGGAATTGAAGGGGAGGAAAGTGAAGCTGCCGTACAGAAGAGCTTCTTCTCTGGCTCTGGAGCGACTGAGGGAGGTAAAAAGAGCTACAGCTAAATGCTTCGCCTTCTTCTTGTCCTGAGGGAGGGATGGTAGAGACGTAGAGAAGTGTCAGACAGTTAATGACGTGATGTGAATGGACAAACTGGCTTTGTTACTCACTGTATGAGTGTCTGATGGTTCATTCATCTCTCCATGTGACGAGCCAGCCTTCAGAGACACGTTCTGTATGGAAAAAAATATTTGGTAACATCTGACTTTTGAAATGGATAGTTAATGCTCCTCAAAGTCCTCAGGCAGGATCTCACCTGTGTTTGGTCGATGTCTTCGTCATACTGGACTGCAGGGGATCCTGGCAGCGTCATCATCAACACCAGGAGTAATTTCTTCAAGTCATGAGATGCTTTACCTCCAATCTGCAGAAACACATTGCAGTTGTATATTAACATAACCGACAAAATAGTTGCAGTTTTGATAATTGAGTAAGTCTCTCCAATGTGAGGTTATATCTTTGCAAACTGATGTGTTACTGTTGCTTTTCTTTGACACACAGTATGTTACTCAATTAAATACCTTTGGATCAGACAAAAACAAATATCTGAAAAGCCGCCTTGGACTCTTAAATTTTGGGCGTTTCTCACTTTTTTTCTGATGTTTGGGACCAAACGATAAAATCAATTTGATCAAAAAAATCTTCAGATTAGTTGCAGTCCTACATTCAGTATATTCAATTTATGCAGGCTTTGTAAAAGTATGTAAAATTATACCATCAAGTAGTATTTATATGCTTTCTAAATGAAACATTTCTGCCAAATAAAATATATAAAAAGGGAAGACATAGGTATCTAAAGCTTGCCCGTCGTTTTATAAAAAAATCTTATTCAGACTGTACTTTGCCACCAGAATATACAAAAGGACTTTAATAGAAGTTTATTGTGTACTGAATTATGCTCACGTTATGTGGTCCCTACACATACTGTATGTCTTACCGTCCAGCTGGGCCATATATCTTCTTCTCTTGTTTGCAGGCTTGTCTCTATAGCAACAGCAACTTCCTTAGCAGATAGTAGGTGAGGCGAAGATGGCAGAATCGACTTCATGACCACATCCACCAGCGTAATGTTGTTTAGAGGAGACAGAATGTCTTGCGTCTGTTTTACCACCACAATCCTGAAGAGACACACAGACAGACAATTAAACCACCTTGGAGCTTCATTATATAACGAACAAAGACATCTGTCCACATCTGCATCTGTAACGATACCTTTCCTCCTCCTCCTTATTGCTGAATTCCTTGAAGACGCCTCTCCACTCCAGCAGAGTCTGAAATGTAAATATTTTATTGGAAAATGAGTTTATGGAAAGTCGCATTAGAATACAAAAACACTACTAAGCATCATTTTACCTTTTCTGAATACGCTGCATCCGTGTCACAGATTGCAAAGCCGTCCACACCCTGCTCCAACCAGAACCGGAGTGCATGCTGTGGAAGAAGTAACATTATGTTTTACTAAATCTAGTCTCACTGAGAATTTAAAAGCATGACCAGAGAATAGGCTTGTACAAGTACTGTGTTTGAGGGCTCGTCTGCATTTCCTGCTACATCTTGAGGTCCCAACAGATCCAGTTGACAGAAGTCCAACACCACTTTGAGACCTGCAGGAACAATAAAAAAGCAAATCAATCATCAATTCATGTAGGAGAAAAAAAAAAAAAAAAAAGTCTTAGTAGTCTTAGTCATTTACTCGCCTGCTTTATTGCTCTCTGCAAGCAGATGTTGGATCTGAGCCAAAGTGCTGCTCCTTTCACCAGTCGCAGTGACATTGAAAGGAGACACCCCTTTATCAAACAGACCCTCCAGGATTAGGGCCCCTATACCCAGGGACCTGAGGTACGGAAGCTGCTCACACAGTGCTTGAGAGATCAAACATTAAACTGAGTTAGTAAAGTTTCATACCAACATCATTCCTCACTTCATTTGTGCCTATTTTTAATCTCAGTACACTTTTTAGTCACCATTTATGTTTGGTTCACGCAGACTACTAAATACATTGCTTCATGTTGTTAACAGATGCTCATAACATACGTGGTGTTCTTGTTTTTAAGGTAACCTATCTGTTCCCAGTAATTTTCTGCTCTGTTAACAGAGCCATGTGCAGAGCTGAGATAAGATTCATTCTCACAGTGATCAAACAGCCTGATTTCTGCTTTGTCAGCGATTGCGGTCTGATTGAAGATTTTTTTTAAACATTGCGGTCTGATAGAAGATTTTCGAACATTGTGAACATAACTGTCTGATTAATAACAGCCACCTGGTTCTCACAAACTGCATTCCCACCAACAAACCTCTGAGCAATGCATTACTCAAGCTACAGTATCAACGAACATGACAAGGGCCTTAAAGTGGGCTCTGCTTTTTTTTTTTTTTTTTTTCACATGATCTTTTTGTGTCAAAATCCACTTTTAAAACCATATTTCAGTTTTGGATTTATATTTAACCTTATTCTTGAATTTGTGTGCTAAATATAAATATGAGCGGCCACTTAACACTTTCTGTGTAAAGTGGCAGCTCATATTTACCCCCCTACCCCCCAGTATGAACGATACTTGGGGGTCAGTCTGGAGATACGGTCATTCCTTTAGGTGGCCACCAGGAGGCACATAGTCAAACTGAATGAATGTGTTCCTCAAAAGTTACACATTGACAGCACCTGGAATAATGCGCATTGTTTTTGAGGGGGCTAAAAATAAAATAACTTTCTAAAATATTGCACCTTTCTAAAAAAAAAAATGATACCGGTATTTGCTCACCATTGACGCCCCCTGACTCCTCGGCCTGCCCCTCGGTGAACAGGTCGGGCTGCAGCTGGTAGAACAGCGACTTCTGCCACCACCTGAGCGGCGTCGCGACCGGCCGGGGGCTCATCACTACGATAGCGATGGAGGTGGCGAGCATGGCCACCCAGGCCAGCCAGAACAGCAGAACCAGGTAACAACGCACCTTCCTCCAGCCCGCCCCCCCCGCGGCGACCTCCAGCTGCTGCTTGCTCATGGGCTGCCACTGCTGGACCGGCTCCGGCTCCGGCACCGGGATGAGCAGTGGGGCCGACTCCGAGGCTACCTCACCGCCCGACAGCCCGGGACCTGGCACGCTGCCGTACCCGGTGTCTCCCGCGTTCAGAGGCATCCTGCCCGGCTGCAGGTGGGAGGACATGAAGTGAGATTAATATAAATATAAACAGAAAGGTAAGTTATAGCAGGCAGAAGTTGGCCAACTGTTGCTGTAGTTTGTGTTTGTGCCTGTTGGTTTGGTTTCCATACCGCGCTGCCTGTCTCCTCTCTGTCACTGTGTTCCATATGGACCACGGGAGGACCACAGATGGTAACACTGCTGCAGGATTCAACCACCGTACTCAGAAGGACTAAAAACTTTCCCCCTGCTACTTTCTGTTACACAGGTGTTTCAGTTGATTCAATTAACTGCAGGTCAGGTGACACCCCACAAATTAATCACAGACCCTTTGCTAAAGGCCTCAGTGAGGGTTTCCCAATTAGATTTTCTCTAAGGCAGGCAAAGAGGGATTTCCAAAGTAAAATGAGTGACATTTTGGAATATATCCATTTGACTTGTGCTGTGATAATCATATATTTCCTTTATGTTATTCAAACTTTAGAGCAGGGCTGCCCAAGGAGTTAGTGGCAAGATGAACTGACCCCTTACTTTACTTCTTATCACACTGTACAAAATACAGAATGTTCTTTAATTTTACATAAAAAGATAAATGACCACCAAACTTAAAATAGGATTATGGATGTTTATATACTCTATGTGTATCTACTTTCTAATATTGATGGCTGTTATTATATCAGTCTGATAGTATCCCTTTGATCACAGCTGACTTGTTGATCCTTCATTACTCTTCATATCTATTTTCATTTCATATCTATTTTATTAAGTCTCTGTCTGCTATTGCTGCAGCCATTTTATCCAGGACACTCGTGTAAAAATAGATTTTTAATGTCAACGGGGCAATGTCCTGGTCATATAAAGTTAAAGCCTGGACTGAGACCATTTAAAAAACATCAGCCTCATAAACTTCCCCCCAAATGCATTGACATTTCTGTTAGTTCCTATAAAATGTTGACATTTTGCAGATACAAGCTTTACCTGGCAGTAGTTGCTGGTTTAGGGGCCCTCTGGTGGCCATTAGGCTGTAAACAGCTGCTCTGGACCATAAGGCTCCAGTCAGGTTCAAACCCAGCACCATCCTGCTGTAAGGCAGCACTAACCACTTTGTCCACCACCCAAACACAGTAACAGTCATTACTCACATTTTCTGTCCGAGTTTCTTGCCTTTCCCTTTGTTCTCCTTTTCCTTCTCTTCTTTTTCTCTTTGTATTTCTCTACAAGCGTTCCCAGCCGAGCAGTGCCGTCCTGAGTTGAGTATTTGACTGACTTGTCAGGCATGAGGAGGTGAGAAGGACACTCTGTCCAGTGAAAGCTCCGCTCAGTCAATTAATACAGAGGTGCCGAGCCTCACCACACCCTCTCAACACATTCTGAAGAACCCATGACTGCCACAGAGAGCCCCCCCACCCCACCCCAACCCGGAGACCTTCATGTGGCAGTCTTGACTTTGACTTGAACCATCTTTTTTTAATTATCATTTTTATGTATCTCCTGTGTAGTTTTCAGTCATTGTGATGAATGTCTTGGTTTTGAATGTTTGAATAAAATGCAGGATTGTAAATTCAAGAATCTGGAGGCATTGAGATACAATGAGAGATTTAATCTAGTGTTATATTTCAGGCATATATTTTTTACATGAATGATACATTAAATTAAAGAGGATCTGACTTGGCAAGAAAATGGGAAAGAAATATAATTTTCACTAGGTATATTTTCATAGCGTATTCATGAGTACGCAAGGAATTGCCACCGGCCCCCACCTCCATAGTTTTCCTTCTGCTCACTTCACAGGCCATATGTACGTTGACCCACGCGTTATACAGGTTGGAAAACTAATGAATACATGCAAAAAACGGTGCCAACTAAATACATCACGCCTAGGTCCTTTAATTGGAAATACATAATAATCTGGATAATCTATTCATCATTTGAGTTTTAAAACTGAAAATACCAAACGTTTGCTGGCTTCAGCTTCTGAAAATGTGATAATTTGCTCGGTTGTTTTTCTTTT